TTCACCCTGATTCATAAGGAAAAGGGGACGGCGTATTCTCTTAGCTACTTCCTGCTGAAAAGGGACGCTGTATGTTTCAGGGTGAAGATCTTCTCTCACTACTCTAAAGGGCCCCTTTGTCAATAGAAAACATGTAGACTATTGTGGAGATTGATTTTGGAATTTAGATGCACTGTTATCGATTGTGCTTAGCCATACATGTTCATATCCTTGAAGACGTATGGTTGTGTAACTCTTCACCCACTAAGCTACCAGAGCCCCCACCGTGCACAAAGAATGAAACAGTTATAAACTATTTTAATAGATGAAAATGTCCTGCAAGGACAGACTGCCTTTTTAGAATGACTGACCACCAGAGAAGACTTAGAGGGTCTAGGTGAGTACAGTTTCACAAAAATAATGGGAAATTTTCTAGTAATTATATTATTGTTGTTGTTTGTGCAATTGAGTTGCTTGTGACTTATAGCTACCCTATGTACAATTGCCCTGAAACCTGCTCTCTCCTGTGCCAACCTTACCGTCTCTGCCACACCTACCGTCATTACCTCAGTCATTGAGTCAATTCATCTCAACGACGGTCTGTCCCTCCACCCTTCCAAGCATAACATCCTTCTCCAAAGACTAGCCTACATCATGTCCAAAGTATGTGAGACAAAGAGAATCCTTGCCTCTAAGGAGCAGCCTGGTCTCACCCTCTCTAGAATGAACCTATTTGTTCTTCTAGTAGTCCATGGTATATTCAATACTCTTCTCCAGCACCACAGTTCAAAGGCATTGATTCTTCTTTTATCATCCCTAGGCATTGTCCAACTTTCTGATGTATAGCAAGTAATTGCAAAGACTATGGCCTAGATCAGGCACATCTTAGTCTCCAGAATGACATTGTTGCTCTTCAGTACTCTGGAGAGGTCCCTGGCAGCACACTTTCCCAAGGTATTAGAAAAAATAAAAATGAATAGCAGAGAAAATTTTTTACATATTTTTAATCAGGTAAGTAAAAATACTATCATCTCAATATGTAATCAATATTAAAAAGTATTAATGTGGTCTTATGCATTCTTCTCTGTTGGACTCATTACTGGGCCCCCAAGGAATGTCCAATGATCTACAAGTGCAGACTTAGAGCCAGTCTGTCCATTAGGGTACAAATCTTATCCCTGTTATTTATTGACACATGGCTCTGGTCAAGTTTCTTAACCCCTCTGGGCCTCAGTCTTCTTATCTGTAAAGTGGCAATAATACAGCCTGGGAAGCCATTCTGAAGGTCATGTGAGTGAAATTTGGAAGTGCTTCAAACTGAGTGTAGAGTGAGTTGTGCTAGGTCTGGAGAATTCAAATAACCATGTTTTTCTTCACAGAGAGGATGCTGATGCTTAGGGATAAGGTTCCCAGCTGTCCAGCCTACTGAGGCAGGGGCAGCTGGACCCCGCCACAGTATAGGGGCGTCACACACTTATCCAAATGGAGAGTAAGGCAAGACCAGGCCCCTTGCTCCCACATCCTCTGATCTCCTTGAGTGTCCTCTATGATTCTAGCTGCCTGCTGGTAAGACCAGGAGTCACCTTGGAAAACCCCATGGGGTGTGGAAAGTCCAGAATTCTACTGGTGCCTCAACGATAATTAGGCCCCGGGCCTCCTGGGGCTGAAACTACACGGTGCACCTGCACAGATTCCAGGGCTTTTAGGAGTGAAATAGACTTTGATCTTGCTTTTCAGTTTTTAATTCCCCTTTACCTGTTGACTCAGCTCAAACCTGTTGCCATCAAGTCAGAATTGAGTTTAACTCTGCATTGGATTTCTGGGGTTATAAATCATGTGGGAGGAGATTGCCCATCTCTCCCTTGGAACTGCTGGTGGATTTGAACAACTGGAGAGCCACAGCAAACCCACTACAGTCCAAGTCACCAGAGCTCCCCTTAGAACAGACACGAAGGTGTTTCTGAATAGGAACTCCGTCAAACAGGGAGATAACCCACCAGGCTGCACAGAATGAGGGTTGATGGGGACCCTCTCCTTAGTTCATCTGAAGACATTCTAGCAAGTCTTCACGAGTTCAACCCCAACTCCCAAGTCTCCAGAATAATCATTCTAACACAAGCCCAACAAAGCAAAGCCCTCCTGTGGCCTATGGGCCAAGTCCACCTCCCTGGCTGGACAGCACGGATTCATGGGGCAGGTGGCCTCCCTACTCCCATGCAGGTTCATGCTTCAGGCCTTACCCTGCTGCCACCTGCTGGCCCAGCTTCTGTGCCCTCACAAGCTCATCCTGGGGGCTCCTCCCATGCCAGCTATTCTCCTCTGCAGCTTCTACTTCTCCTCATCCCAGCTATGCCACTTGCCATCCTGGTGACACCCCCACAGATGATGAGCTGGGCAAAGAGCTTAGGGTCTACACTAGTGATTAGGAGTCTTCTTTGGATCTAGGTTCTAACTCTCCAGAAGTGACAGAAAGACAGTGACTGGCTGTTGTCTCATAAGCAGAAGGGCAGGCAAAGCTCAGAATCTGGGTCCCCAAGGTGATGCCCAGGGCTGTGCCACAGATGCATTCTGTCCCCCCTGCCAGGTGGACATCATCTGACAGAGGCTCTCTAGATCAGTGGTTGTTAGATGCCACTGAGTGGCCTATGACTCCCAGGCTAGAGTGGGGGCTATGATGACAACTGTCGGCCCCACGGTCAGGAGAGGCCTGGAGAACTGCCCCTTGGGAATATTATGTCCTCATCCTTGGAGGTGATGTAACATCCCTGCTGGAGCTCCACCTATGGGTGCCCTACATTTGAACCTCAAGTGACAAGGTAGGCACCTGTTTTGCTGGCTCCCCATTTGAACAGAGCCGTTTGGGTGCAGACTGGCACCTGGCCAGTGCCACAAGTGGGCAACTGAGAGAAAAAAAAACCAAAACAAACAAAAAAAAAAAACAACTGAGAGGTCCACACCTCCTCCTAAGAGAAATTAGGACCCCGGGCTCCACAGAAACAGCACCTGTGGGCCAGTCAGCCAGACCAGAAATTTCGTTTACAGCAGAAAGAGCAAACTTCCAGGAGTTGAGGGGTTTGGTATGGATGAGGACCCTCTCCTGAACCTTAGAAGCAAGGTTTTTTCCTACCCCCACCCCCGCCCCTCGCCAGCTCGCGGGAGGCCCTGATTGGCTCCTGTGCTCTCCCAGGAGACTGGTCCAGTATATTAGGGGTGTGGGCGCCGCGGAGTGAAGGGGGACACTCAGGAGGAGGCTGGTCTCTCTGTCTCAGCCTCCAGAGTCCGCAGAGCAAGCGCAGGCTTTCCCAGACACGGAGAAATCCAGCAACCCAGGCTGTGGGACATCTGGGCGGGGAGAGAAGGGAGCGCAAGGATTAGGGTGCGACCGGCCCACCTCGCTGCTCCGGGGAAAGCCACGGCCACCAGTGGGCGCGGGCCTGCGGAGCTCAGGTTCCCCTCCGCACCCTCCTGGAATCCGCTGCCCCGGGCCCCAGCCCCACAGGTCCTCCCAGGTCCCAAGGCGGCTGCATGGCCGGGGAGGCGCGGCCGGGTGCGGACGCCGCCCTGCGCCGCCTCCTGAGGCTGCACCGCACCGAGATCGCCGTGGCGGTGGACAGCGCCTTCCCGCTGCTGCACGCGCTGGCCGATCACGACGTGGTCCCTGAAGATAAGTTCCAGGTGGGCCCCCCTGCCTAGCCCTCCTCATGCGCTGCGCAGGAGAACGGGCACAGGTGACAGGTCTCTCCTGCCTCCTTTGGGTCGAGGTCCCCCCTCCCCGTTCTTATGCTGGTGCAGCCAGAGGACCCGGATGGGAGGTTCACCCCATCCACACACAAGCTGGCCGGCCTCCTGGCTGCCTCTAACCCCTCCTCGAGGTTCTCGACCCAAGCGAGAGCCCTCACCTGGTCTTGCTGCAGGAGACGATGACTCTGAAGGACAGGGAGGGCTGTCCCCAGGCCTTCCACGCCCTCCTTTCCTGGCTCCTGACCCAGGACGCCACGACCATACTGGACTTCTGGAGGGTTCTCTTCAAAGACTACAACCTGGAAAGATACACGCGCCTGCAGCCTATCCTCGACAGCTTCCCTAAAGGTGGGGCTAGGGTGTGGTGCACTCTGGATTGGTCTCTGGGTCCTTGGTGGGTTTGGGGGAGCTGTGCTATATACTGCTGGGTTGGGAGCTGGAAGTGGGGCAGGGTCTAGGTAGGACCCCCGGTGATCACCTGGGACCAGCTTGAAGTCTAAGAGGCTTTGCCTGCCTTGGTGGGCATGCCCAGCTCTCACACGCACCCCTGAGGACCAGAAAAATCTCAAGGCTTAGCCCCTGCTCTTGTCCCATCCCGCAGATGTGGACCTCAGCCAGCCTCGGAAAGGGAGGAAGCCCCCCACTGGGCCCAAGGCCTGCATGCTACCACCCAGACCCCCAGCTAAGAGGAAAGCCCAGGATGAGCCCCGGGGTGCCCCACTGGCTACCTTGTCCCCCAGGGGCAGCTCCAGCCCAGGTACCCACTGATGATTTCCAGAACACACTCCCTGGGGAGCCTTGACAGCCTTGCCCACATATCCTCCTGTCAGGGCTGCAGAAATCTCAGGACAATCCTGGTGTCAGTCCCTCTGCCTGCTTCCTTTCTGTGTAATTGGCTGGATGCCCCAAACCGTGAGCTCTCCAGAATCCTGGCAGGCAGGTGGTGGGTTTTCCACTTTATTGAGGAGAACCTGGAAAGTGAAGGCTGTCCTCACTCCATACCCTCAATTACTTCCTAATTCCTAATGCTCCCAGTTCCTGACACCCCCACCAAAATGTGTCCAACCTCCTGGCTGCCTCTAACGCCCCCTCCAGGATCCCAACCGAAGGCCAAGACCTCTAAGAAGCTGGAGAGCATCAGCGAGCCACAGCGCATCCCTCTGGGTAGCGGTGAGTAAGATCCTCATGGGGCTGGGGCTGGGGCTGCCAACTCTCGAAAACTTCTCCTGAACACGGGCCTCAACTGGCTGGGTTTGTCATCCCAAGGGCCTTGCCACAGCCAACTTTGGTGAAAGGAGGTGCCTTGGACCCAAACATAACCTAACTGGTCACCCTCACCCCCACCCCTTCAGTGAAACTCAGCACCCTGGCTCTGAGACCCTCCTCTCAGGCCTCACAACCTGTTCTCACTTCTGATGCCTCACCTCACAGCCACTCAGCTATCCACCCATCCACCCTCTGCTTCTAGAACCTTCTCCTGCTATCCCCTTTTTTAACCCCCACCAGTGGTAGCCCAGATTATGCAGTCATTCCAAAGAGTCTTCAGCCCCCCACCCAGCTTTCCCGTAGCTTGATGTACACCTGCTTGTGCCTCTGAATTACGAGGAATGGATCTCCCAAGGTCCCCACTCTTTACCCTGCTCACCCACCCTGAACACAAGGTGGGTCTGAGCACCCCTTGGGAAGGTTTGCGAATCAGTATATTTTATAAGAGCCTCCCCCTCCCCTGGACTGCCAAGAGAATAAGCAGGTCTGGCTTAGGGTGAAGCCAGGTTGCTCCTTGGAGGCAAGGACTATGAAGCTCCCATCTCACATACTTTGGGCATGTTGTCAGAAGGAGAAGGACATCATGCTTGGAAGGGTGGAGGGACAGTGCAGGAGAAGACGACCCTGGATGAGCTGGATTGACACAGTGTCTGTGAACAGTGCGGGCAGGTGGGTCAGAGATGTGAGATTGGCTCAGGATAGGGCAATCAGAGCTGTTGTTCATAGGGTCATTATGAGTCAAAGTGGACTCACAGCATATAACAACAACAATAATAACCCCTCCCCAGCCAGAGGCGAGCCATTGTTCATAGGGTCATTATGAGTCATAGTGGACTCACAGCACATAACAACAACAATAACAACCCCTCCCCAGTCAGAGGCCAACCTGGCAACTGGAACTTACAGGTATGCATTGTAAGGTGCATACCCTTCTACCAACCACTGCTACCTTGTTTTTTTAGCTCCTCTCTCACAGACAACCCTAGCCTCCTCCAAGGACATCCCCTCTTAGAACACACCCTCTCCTGGGGTCTGCACCCCATTCTGATGCTGCCCCACCTCATCTTTGAGCCCCTTTTGTCATGCTGTTTTTAGGGACTGGGATGTCCCATACTTCCCGTGCAGTCACACACCCTGCCCTCCTCACCCATAAGGCTTTTCTGGATGCTGCTGTAGCCTCACACAACATTCTGACCCTCAGCCAGACACAACCTGGCACCCTGCTGTTCCCAGCCTGGGGCCACTTAGTCCCAGCAGCCTCTCCCACCCACTTGTGTGGGAACTGGCACACACACACACACACACACACACTCACACGTGTCACTAGAGGGTTGATTACCATTCATCCCTGCTGTCCTCCCACACTGGGCCCATCTCCCAACCAGCCAAAAGATGGGACTCCCACGTCCACTGTCTGAGGGGGCTGACCCATGACACCTGCCCAGTGAGGAGAGGTGCTCAGAGCTATCCTCATGATTGACCTGTTGCTGTGGTTCCTTCCCCAGGAATCCAGACCATGTCTGCCTCAGTCCAGCGAGCTGTAGCCATGTCCTCTGGGGATGTCCCAGGAACCCGAGGGGCTGTGGAGGGCATCCTCATCCAGCAGGTGTTTGAATCAGGTATTCTGGGGGGAGGGTGCTGCCAAGGCCCACGGAGAGAGCCAGAGAGGAGCAGAGCTGGAGTTCAGGGAGATGCCCTCGCATTGTGGCTCTGCTGGCTTTGGAGAGCCAGGGCAGGCCGAGCTCCCCTCTTCCAGATTGGTGGTGCATGGGGTGCCCATTATGTCTGCGTCTCCTCCGTCCATGGACCAGCCCCTTACAAACTCTGAAGTCTATAGTACCTGCAGCACCCCCTTCACTCCTCCACCAGGACTTCTCTCATCCCACCTCCCTTCATCTCCTTCCTGGGCTCCCCCTGTGAGGATGGGTCTGGTCCCTTCTCATCTACCTGGCTCTTCCCACAAGCTCCAGGGAGCTGAAGACCTTTGTACAGTGCAAGCTCCCCAGGTCTCAGGCACAGATTTATCCTAGGGGGCCAGAGCCGCTGTTCCACTGTGGCTTTCACTCTCAGCCCCTGCCCTGGTGTCTCTGTGTGGGTTATGGGCCAGGACCTCCGGGCAGAGGGTCCAGTGGCCCCCAGGAACTGATGCAGCCCTGGTAGCACCTCAGCAAAGACTGTCCTTAGAGTGCCCAAGCAAAATCACTCATAAACCCAGGATCTGGTCAAGCACTTAGCTGGGAGGAGGAGCAGCAAACTGACAGTTAGTTGTCTTGACCAAGTCCTCCTGCACTGACCAGGGGTCTGCATAAAGAATCAGCAGGCAGGGACTTTCTGGGCAGGGGATAGTGAGGGCCAGGACCAAGATCAGTCACTTCTCTCCACTCAGGTAGCTCCAAGAAGTGCATCCAGGTAGGGGGTGAGTTTTACACTCCCAGTAAGTTTGAAGATCCTGGAGGAGGTGGTGCTAATGGGAAGAACAAAACCCGCAGTGGTAGCAGTCTGAAGCCTCTGGTCCGAGCCAAAGGAGCCCAGGGCATTGCCCCTGTAAGCCTGTCTATCTGTCCCCTGGGAGGCCTGGCCCTCAGCACCCACTCCCTCACACACAGCAGCCTCTCGGCTTGGCACTCTCAGGGGGGGTGGGTGCTGAGAGCTGCTGCTGTGAGGTGCCCACCATCAGTGGCCATTTGGGTTCCTCCTGCCCAGGCTGTTTCGCCCGTTAATGACCCTCTTCTCTATTACAGAGTGTAGATGACCCAAGGCTGGTCCAGCAGGGCAGAGCCCCCACTCCTGCTGCCCTCCCTAGCGAGCCCCAGCTCCACCAGGTAATGCCCCACACCACAAGGGGACCCCTGTTACACCACAATTCCCTCTGGTGGGTTCTTCTGCAGGGTCTGTTCTGGGCACTTGGATGACTACCACACTTCTAGTCACAGGGGTGCATCTTTCTTTTTCATACCATAATTTTTCTCCCGATAACACATAATTGTAAAAATTCATAATGGTTAGAAGAAGTTAAATCCTTCAGGCCTTTAAATCTATGGACAGAGGGGCAGCCAAGGCTGGCTATCCTGAGTATCTCAAGGCTGAGTCCATGGAGGCAGGGTCTCTGCTGCTGGGTCAGGAGCCCAGGGCCCACCAGAGCATCAACACCACCTTTTCCTAACAAGATGGAACTATCTCAGTGTATTTCCACCATTGCCATTGTCACTTACAAATCCCCACACTGCACTGAAAACAGGACCCAGCCTGCTCCCCAGATGTCCCTGTTAGTGGTGGTGGTGGTGGTGGTGGTATAGGTGAGAGCCTAGCTGTCAGGTGGGGGGAAGTTTCTGGAGGAGGTGGCATCCAAGAGACCCCTAAAGGTGCAAGTAGGTGCCATGTGGCCAAAGTTCCAAGAAGCATGAGGGTCTCAGGCTGAAGGGCAGTGGGCGTCTAAGCCTGACAAATGCTACCTATCAGTTTCCTCATTGCCTTTGGAGGGAGAGTCAACCAGAAGCCAAGCTTGCCGAGGATCATATTTCCAGAGAGGAGTGCTGAGGGGCTAGAAATGTAAAGACAGAGGGGCCTGTGAAAGGCCACAGGGAGCAGGTGGTTAGGGTGGAAGTTTAGGTGAGAGCTAGCATGAGGGTGGGGAGGGGGGCATCTAGGTGTCCTGGGAGGGCCCAGAGTCCCTGAGATTCTGCAGGTGGAAGCCTTTGTTGGGAGGAGGCCCCACCCACTCGAGGAGCCCAGACAAGAGCATCTGCCAATCTTGAGAATCTGGACAATGTCTCTCTCCTGTGTCAGAAGAATGAGGACGAATGTGCCGTGTGCCGGGACGGTGGGGAGCTGATCTGTTGTGACGGCTGTCCCCGAGCCTTCCACTTGGCCTGCCTCTGCCCACCGCTCCATGAAATCCCCAGGTGAGACTGGCATGCCTACACCACGCAGCAGGCCACCACATCCGACTGGGACCAGGGACTTTCCCATCAAGCCTCCCATTCACTCCATGACTAGCAGGGTTCTTTCTGAAGCAAAGGGAAGACCCAAAGCCAAGACTGACCATCCTGTTCTCTCACCTCAAACCAGCCCCCACCATGTCTAAATACCATGTACACTTGGTGGGCCCAAGTCAAGTCCCACCCCATGGTGGGAGCATAGAGGCCCAGGAAGGCTCACCTGCCCATACACAGAACCCTGCTCACCCCCGGACACCCTTCTAGGCTAGCTGCCCTCCACCACCAGCTCCCACAGGTCAGGTCTTTGGGAAAGAACCTGGAGGCATCTCAGCCAGCAGGGCCTCAGCCAGGTCACTTCTCTGCTCCCCCCCAACCCCATCTCTGCGAGGGGCTTGGCCATCTCTTGGCTACCATCTAACATTGGCTGTCTTTCTCCCATCCTCTTCCAGCTCTGCTAGGCATTGATCCCTTATGGAAACGTAGGTGGTCCTGGTGATACAAGACATCCCAGTTGAGGGGCGTTCTCACCGTCAGGGCAAGGCCCAGGGAGCCAGCATAGGCCATATAGTGGGGAACCTTCGGGGATTATCAGGAAGCACTTAAGAGGAGGACACTGAACCACTGACCAGGAGGGAATACCTCCTCACCCGCAGCTTGACTCCTGACTGGCAGGGGTAAGCAGCTGGAGGCAGGACCGAAGCACATCCCTGTGACCTGCCACCTCCCTGCCTGGGCCTCAGTTTCCCATCTGTGAAAAGATAGGCTTCCCTCATCTGTGCATTTGAAAGTTATTGTCAGGAAGCTCTGGAGGCCTAATGGCAAGAGGCTGTGCTGCAATTCAGAAGGCATGCGGTTTGAATCTACCAAATGCTCCACTGGAGAAGGAGAGGCAATCTCCTCCTGTGCCAGATGGATCTGATTTGATGGTGCATAACAAAAGAAAGGGGCGGGGAGAGAGATGAAAGTCTATTGTCCCATCTGCTGCTTTTTATTTTTAAATAAAATTTTTATTTTTATACTGGTTTACTTACAAATGTCCCATCTGCTTTGTCCTCCCACACCTCTGACCATTGGTGACCTGGGCAGTGGGACCTGGAGGTGCTCCAGCTGTCTCCAGGAAAGAACTCTGCAGGATGCTCCCCTCACAGAGAAGCCTCAGCCCCAGGAGGGGCCCCAGGAGCGACCCCAGGAGCCCATTGTGGAGAGCCCGGTATGCACAGAAATGCTCCCAGGTTGAGCCCTCCTGTCACCTCTGGACTCCTTCCCAGTCACTCCCTGGGTCAGGCCAGCTTAGGTGCCACTGTGTGTCCTGTGTCTTCTCGACCACATTGTCTCTGCTTTCTAGAGCTAAGGTCCAGGGAAGCTGGCCTTCAGAAGGCTAACCACACCATGGCCTGCTCCTTAGAGCTTCTGACTCGGAGGGGCTTTGGCTGTTGTTCTAAAACAAGAGGCCCTGTTTAACTACTGATTATTTCCTTCGCAAATCATTTCTGGCTTTTTGTTAAAGTTCAGAGGCCTGGGAGGTCCTTCATGTGCCCTGGGATATGTTGTTGTTAGGTGCCATTGAGTCAAATATGACTCATAGCAACCCTATGAAAAACTGATCTGTACCCTGCTCTGTCCCGTGCCATTCTCACTGTCTCTGACACACTCAAGCCCACTGACACAGTCCTGGGATATAGTGAGGGGTTTATTCATTCTCCTGACAGCCTTTGAGGGCTGAGGGTTGAGGAGCAGAGCTTTGCTGAGGACCGCAGAGCCAGGGGGTGAACCCACAATTCTCCCAATGGTCTGGCCACCACACCAGTTCCCTGAGCTCCCAGGTGGCCAGCTGTCACTGGCTGCCTGAGGGATGTGGGGGCGGTTGGGGGGGGAGTCATTAGTAAGCCCCTCTGAGTACTGATCTCTGGTTCTAGGTCCTCTTAGGACTGAGGCAGGTGAGTGAGGAGGCAAGGGGCCTCCCCAAGGGGCTTCCAGCTGGTGTTGACACTGCTCTCACCTATAAGCACTTGATGCCCCCACCCTCCACAACCCCCTTGCCAGTGCTGGAGCCCTCTGCCCTGCGTCCCCTGCTGTGTGCAAATGCTGATGGACGGCAGGTGAGGGGCCTGAGGGTCCAGGGTGTTTGTCTTCAGAGAACTTAGGGTTTACCAGGGAGTTTACACTAGAAACCAGAGAGAGGGTGACACTAGAGAGTTATTTGAGGGAGGGGCCCAGGCTGCAGTTGGGAATATCAGGGGGTATGAGTTAGGTGGGGCCCAAGGGAGGTGACATGTAGGGGAGGAGCCAGCCTTGTCATGCCTGGGAACAGCCTCCTGGGGGGTGGAGTGGCTGGGTGCCATCAGAGCCCCGCACCCCACCCGGAGAAAGAAGGGGCTGGTCCTGTGTGCCCTCTTAGGTGTAAGAAAAAGAGAACACCGGAGGTCTGGAAGGTGAAGCGTTCTGCTGTTGTCGCAGAAACTCCCACCCCAGCTTGAGCCCTGAGCATATAGCCCACCCACCTTGTAGGGTAAATCTAGCATATTGGGGAATCTTTCAAGACCCTATACAACTCTGCCCCACTCCTTGTCCCTCTCTTGCCTCCTCTGGGGTCACCCTGTTCTGGAGACCTCTGTTTCAGGAGTGAAGGGGACCTGATCCCAAGGAGACAATCGCCAGGTCTAGCCACCTGGCTCTTTAGGGCTGCACCCTGCAAAGTGCTGAGGCAGGCAGTTTCTTCTGTCCCAGGAACCATGAGACCCACTGTCCCGTATCCCTTGGCGATGTCTAACCCGGGGTTAACTAGCTGGGTTCCATGCCCCGAAACTGCCAAGGAGAGCAAGCGTCTGGGGGTAACTGCAGGGTCGCTGCTCTTCGTAGGGCGCAGCGCAGGGCGCGCGGTGCGGCGTGTGCGGGGACGGCGCGGACGCGCTTCGGTGCACGCACTGTGCGGCCGCCTTCCACCTGCATTGCCACTTCCCGGGGGGCAACGCCCGGCCCGGGTGAGTGAGTGAGGGTGGCGGGTGGGTGGAGGGTGGGGAGGAGGGTAGGAAGAGGCTGGGGAAGTGCGGGGTGGGTGGCAGGCAAAGAGACGTGGGAGGGGGGCCCGAGGGGTGGAAAGAAGAGTAGAAGCTAGGCACCCAATCACCGCAGTTCTGCATCTCCCCCTAGTACTTCTCCCAGGCCGGGAGAGGCCTAGCGGCTCTCAGTTCAGAGCAGCCCCACCCTCCCGTCTCTATTGTAGAGCTGCCCTACGTTGCAAATCCTGCACCGGAGACCCGGCTTTGGCGCCGGGAGAGAGCACACCAGCCCCCAGCTTGGCCCGCCTGGCGCCTGGGCCGCCCAAGGTCAGTGCATGGGGAGGGATGCTTCACATCCTACCGGATAGGGAGAAGGATTCCTGGAGAATTTGTTGGGTTGTGTGAGTGCTTAGTGGGTTTTAAACCCATTCCTTTTTGGAAACTATTTAAGGAATCCAGTGACCTAGAGCACTGAGACGTGAGAAGTTAGGAACCACGCCTCCCAGAACGATTTACAACCCGGAGAGCCTCTCTGAGTCAGAAACAAACCACTAGTAGTGGGTGGGCCTTAGGTTATCCAGGGCTGCAGCCGAACCACCACAAGTGGGTGGCTTTATCAGGCTAACTCTGAGCGTTTAGGAGACTGAAAGTCCAAAATCCCAGGGCAGGCTCAAGGGGAAGGCTTCTGTCTCTGTTGACTGTGGGGGAAGGTCCTGGTCCGGCTGCCTTATTTGTGGGCTGGGCATCCCTTGGAGATCTCCGGATGTCTTGTCATCAGTTTCTCCTGTGTCTAGAGATTCTCGAAGCACAAGGCCCTAGAGTCTGAAGGACTTGCTTCTCCCTCAGCAGTTTTTCTTTGATGTCACTGAGTCCTCTCCTTCTCTGCTCACTTTTCTCTCTTAGAAATTAAAAGGTGGGACTCCAGCAAAGATTGGCTTGAGTAAGAATGCTTAAGTAAAGATTTTACTTTAAATAAGGGAAGGACTTGATTCACACCCTCTTTTTAAGGCTGTGACTCAATATACACCATAATGATCCTGCCTTATTAACATATAAAAGTTACAGTTTACAACATATCATAATATTGATGATGAGATAACAAAATGGAGGGCAGCCATAACAAAATGTTTACTTTCTCCTCCTCCTCACCTCTCCTCCACGGATAGGTGCATTGGCTATAGGAGTGTCATCTCCAAACCTTTTCTAGAAGGTTCTTTCACAGCCTTCTTAGCGTAAGAAGGCATCTCGATCAAAACCTCAGAATGGAGCTCTTCCTTCCCCACTCCAGGTCCTGCTTCCATGCAGGTGTCCTGAGCCTGGGGAAGGGAACCGGGCTACTTCTTCCCTTTTCTGGATTCCAGGTGGGGGACAGCTCTGCTGGTCACGAGCCTGGTGTGCACAGGGATGACCTGGAATCTCTCCTGAGTGAGGTAACACAACTTGTGGACAAGTTTCACAAGCTTGTTCTCTGCCCTGCCCCATGCTGCCCACTCAGAGCTGACCCTCTAGCCAGTTTCTGAGGCCCTGTGGAGCCCACGTTAAATTAGAATGTGCACAACTTTTGAGTCAGGAGTGCAACTCTAGGTACTAAATGACAGAGCTCCTTAGTCAGTGCCAAGGCTCAGGGGTTGCCGTGCTCTTCCAAGGACAGCATGGTGAGGCTCTCCCCACTTCTGTAGACCCATGCCCATCAGGCCATGCCTTCAACACGGGGCCCCTAGGAAGATGAGTACAGGATCTCCCATTCTGCCCACACCTCTTGGGCCCCTGGAAGGTGGGTGGCTTGCAGAATCTCAGGATCAGGTATGAGCTGTGCTACCTCAACACTGACTCTGAGGAGGTGAGGTTCACCCGGGTACAGCGGTCTCCAAACTACTACCCTTCCCAGGGACTCTTTACTAACCTTTCCAATTCAGGCTTCACTCTGGGAAGAAATGTGGCTTTCTAGGACCTGTCTTGTAGTTTGATTGATTTATTGTTGTTTTTTAAATTTTACATTGGTTTGCATACAAAATTCATATATGCTGTGTTTCATTCATGTACATTGTGTTTCACTCATTCATTCATTCACAATGTTTTGTGTGATCATTTGTATATACTGTGTTTTATAAAATTCATCATTGTTGTTCTATGCCCACTGTCACCCCACATTTTCAGGTCCCCACAAAAGCAAACGAACACACAAACCTTATCAAGTCAGAATCGACCCATAGCTGACCCTTCAGTGGGTTTTCAGAGAGAGTTAATCACATGGGAGGAGATTGCCTATCCTTCTCTCCTGTGGGGCAGCTGGTGGATTTGAACCATGTGCCTTTGGGATAGCAGCACAGCTTCTTACCACTAGACCACCAGAGCTTCCTAATTCCTTCAGTCCCTCCCTCTGCTCACCAAGCTCTGTGACTCCATGGTTTTCCTCCCTCCTCCCCTTCCCCCTTTGGACTATTATGGTGGCATAGTCTATAGGGAGTTGTAGAGCCAGCCCCAAAACCATGCCTTTCTGGTCTGAACCCTCCCGGCAGCTCTGAGAGAGAAAGGCCATCTCCTGTCACATAATTATAAACAAAGCCTCAGTAACACAGTGGAGGGCCAGCTACAAGTTGGTTCTGACGATGACAGTGAGTTTTTGTGGTTGTTCTTCTGTAAGAGGTGCAGTGCTCCAGCTATTCCCAGGCCCCAGGAATATGTATCCTTCTCCAAAGTCCAGCAGTACCGCTCAGGAATCTCAGACGACACTAGGGGCAGGGGCCTGAACCTCTGCCATGGGTGATGGGCAGATCACAGCCTGTGCAGGTGTCTTTAGACAGGACCTCTGGGAACTCTCGGGATAGGGGCGAGGTGATGAGAGGTGACCAGTATGAGAAGGCTGCAGCACTGGAGCGGGGGCTTGTCCTGGCATCATGAAAGAATAGGGGTGCAGATTCACAAGCCCTCTTTGGTGCAAGCCATTCTGCTGGAATGTGAGGTCTTTTCCGGCTCTCCCAGTCCTGTGTGCACATCAGGCCTCTGCAGGGAATTCAGGAATGGCCAGCTTGCCCTGGACGACATACCTCAAATGGTGGCTGTGCCTTGGGCTCCTGAAATGTTGCACAATACCCTGGACTTGATTGAGGTCCTTCTCCTGCCTGGCCCATCCAGTGGGGACATGGACTTCACCTTTGAACTTAGTGGGTCAGATCAGAGTGTGTTCATCCATGATGTCCACAATGCCTTGTGTCCCTGAGGCCAAGGCTATCATCACGGGAAGGCATGCCTCTCTTTGGAAGTTTTTACATGGTGTTGAGTGCCTTGTTCTTTCTCTGTTCTACAGCACTCCTTCGACGGCATCCTGCAATGGGCCATCCAGAGCATGTCCCGCCCTCTCACTGAGGCACCCACCTTCCCATCCTGACTCCAGTGACCCAGGTCTGGTAGGTGGCATGAGCAGTAATGACCCAGGCTTGGCAGGTGGCGTGGGTGGTAAGGGGAGATCATGGACCCTAGAATCATAAACCTTCTTTCCTTTGTCCTCCAGGTGGGGGAACGACTGTAGACACTCTGTGCTGGGTCATATCAGGTCTGTCTCCAAAGGGCCCCTGGGGACAACCTCCCTCACGCTGGAAGCTGTGCCAGGTCAAGACAGAACAACTGAGAAATTCTGGGTATTATCAGTACAGAGAAATCACATGAACTGAAATGAAAATTCTTCTGTGGACTGGAAAGCTGGAGACGTAGACTTCTTCTTCACATGTGGCTCCGAAGTCATGTGCTCATATTGTGATTGTGTCTGCTTAAAGTTTGACAATGAATAAACAAAACCACTTGACCAAAGAGTACTTGCCTCAAAAGCAGATCCAGTAATGCAGTAATAAATATGGTTGTCCTTAAAACAAAAAAAAAAAAGGCAGGCCCAGCTGCTTTGCAGCTCTGCCCTTATTTTGCTCATCACACCCTAAAATTCCATTAGGTGTTCCCTCCCCTGTAGTCCTTGCTTGACATTCTGCAAGGGAGGGAAATTGCAGTGCTCACCTCTCCAGTGAACAGTGTCTGGTCACATAATAGATGCCAGTTAGTGCTATTGACTGGTGTCAATACACAGAAGTGCACCAGCCATTCCACTTAAGCAGCAGCTGTCTGTAGGGCATATTTTACCTATATCACTACCTATATAAACACTAGCAGTGCACCAGCTTACCGGCGATGATGGTTTGGCTCAGAGAACTAGAACAAATTGTCTCAGACTGTGTTATTGGTGAGAACAAACTGCCTGCAGCCACATGGCTTAAAGGGATCAAGACTACATTAACCTCGCTTTACTGTTCCAGCTAATACACTAACAGTCATGGAGATGGTGCAGGACTGGATCCTGCTTTGTTCTGCCAAACAGAATGCCATGGGTCTGAGTGGATTTGCAGCTAACAACTAGCAAACATTACTGTCCCAGGAAGCCTTTGCCTGGGAAGAAAAAGTTGCAAAATACCAAACCAAAACAAAAGCAAACGAACACACAAACCTTATTGTTTGTCTTAAGGACTCCCTGAAAATCTGTTTGTCCTACCTGGTCAACTGGCCCGTATTCCAGAACAACAGCTCTCTCAGCTGTTCACTTCTTCAATGGCTGTATACACTCACTCTTCAGAAATCCCATAAAAGCCTTGCTGGGAAAAAGAAAAGAAAAAAAAAGAAAAAGAAAAAGCCTTGCTAGATATCTTGGACCTTGTCTAATTCCAGTCAGTTTTGTGCTCTGAAAGATCCCCCTTAACCAGACCCTAGACCTTGATAAGGGAGCTCTGGTGACACTTGTGGGAAGCTGCACTGCTAATCCAAAGACGTATCCTCTCTGGTGGTGGGAACCCACCAACAGTTTCTTAGGAGGACGATGGCAGTCTTCTTCCCATGTGATTTACAGCTTCAAGAAACCTGCCAGAGGGTCAGCTCCGTGTCAGTTCAGACTCAATGGCAATAAGTTGAGACCTTATAAATATTAACTCTTGACACCATTTCCCCAAACTTCTCAGGTCCATAAGGGTGATCCTATCCTCACTGATCGGGCTGGGGGTGACCATGTGAGATCCTTGTAGGAATCAACATGGACAGAAGCCCTCACTCTCCATGTATAATGCAAGGACATGGATTACCCATCATGATTATGTCAGAGTACATTGCTGTGTCTATAGTGTCAATCCATTTCAGAAAAGGTTTCCCTGGTTTTCAGTGACCTTTCTAGTGATCAGTCCACTTGTGATGACATGGCCAAAGTAAATGATCTGACATTACAACATCCTCATTTCCAAGGAGCATTCTGGCTGTAGTCCATCAACATTCTTGTAAAAATCCAGACGATACCCAGATGTGTCCAATGCCAGTCTTCCACCAACCTCTTGGAGCGCCACCCCTACAATCAGTCTATGTGGAGCCCAGACAACTTTCATTCATCATGTTTGAGTGCTTCTTGGTCAGCACCTTCTGAATCCTGGTGGTGGGATCTTGATGCAACATTCCCTGAGCTCTGTCTCTTTTAGGCTTGGTGCATTTCTGCCTGTGGAGTTAGCTTAAAAGTTGACTTTTCTAAACAAACAACAAAGGCCCCCCCAAAAAAACACACAAACAAAGCTGACTTTTCTAGCCATTCCATTAGATCCCTCTGGTCTCTAGCTCTTAAGTTATATAGACACATCAACAGCTGTGGGATTAGGATAAGAGAAAGAATGTGTCCCACACTGGGCAGCACGACTCTGGAGGATGACTGGAACAAGACCCCAGTGAGAGCAAGACCCTCATGGTGAAACCCTGGTGATGGTGATGGAGAGGCCGTGGCGTTGCTTTGTGGAGATTCTGGAAAGGTATAACCTGAGATTTCTTGCATTTGTGCTGGACACATTTAAAAGATTTGTTTACCAGATGCTTAAAGCAGAAGCTGACTTAGAACTGCTTTAAGACAAATCTTATTGAATGATTGGGGAACTCAAACTAGGACTTTCACTGATTAAGGGATTATGTTTTGCCTTTAGTCTGGCTTGGGACTGTTGAACTAAACTTTGACTTGTATTGTGAGATATTCTTTGCCTCTCCCACTCTCCAACCTATTTCCTAATAAACCCCACTCTTGATACCACACTGTCAAGAAAGTTTATGAGTTAGCAGTGAATATAAAATCAAGTGAGTGGTAGAAATAGGCACAGGAGCTTGGAGGGGGGATGGCATGTCTGTCCTCGCAGCTGTCTGTTTGCTGCTATGGATATTATTGATGGGGACAGTTTTCCTTTATGAAGCAGGTAGAAGTCACCCTCACATCTCATCTGCTCTTTTCACACTGCCTTTGCATAGTTGGACAGTTCTGTGAGTTGTAGGTGCCCAAGCAATACAACAGAAATTTATGCTGTAGTTTTGGAGGCCAGAGAGTCCAAAATAAAAATGGCAGCCAAGCCATGATCTCTTTTTTTCTTTTTAAATATGGAATGCTTCACAAATTTGTGTGTCATCCTTATGCAGAGTCCATATTAATCTTCTCTGTAGTGTTCCAGTTTTAGAATATGTGCTGCTGAAGTGAGCATGAGCCATGCTCTTTTGAGATGAGATCATGCTGGATTACCCAGGTGGGCTCCACCAATAAAGCCTCATGTGATTGCAGTGAGTGGTTCTGGTGTGAGTTGCTCGGGGTCACGCCCGATCTGGGAAAAGCCCTAATTTGGGGTCTTTCATTTGGGGGCTCTCTCATCCAGGATTGAGCGACCACCCCTGCAACCCGCCAGTCAGCCACTTGGAGGTAAGAGGATCCTCTTGAATTCCTTTGTCTGTGCGGCGCTGCCAAACCTGTGTGTTTGTAAGTCTGTTTTACTTTCAGCTTGCTTTCAATTTGTGGCTGTTGTGCGCCCGTCAGGGCTGGGCGACTGTGCTGGGCAGACGTGCCTGAGAACCACAAGTCACAGCCCTGGGGAGACGTCCCTTTGGGTGGAATATGGATCCAGAGGCTTTAATAGTCTCTGATCTGTCTGAGGGACTTAGAGTGTCCCGCCGGAGAGGAGGTGCCCGGAGGGCTCTCCCGTCTGAAGCAGCTTTCAATTAGTTGTCACGAAGAGAGCTTCTTGTGTGTCTTGTATTTCTTGTGAGTGTCTGCTGTGTTCTGTGGGCGACTAATATGGGACAGACAGTGACGACTCCTCTATCTTTGACTTTAAGACAATTTTCTGAAGTAAGAACCAGGGCTAATAATCTCTCTGTTAACGTTAGAAAAGGACCTTGGTAAACCTTCTGTTACTCTGAGTGGCCCACTTTGGGAGTCGGTTGGCCACCAGAGGGAGCATTTGACCTAACAATCATTTTGGCAGTTAAAGATCTTGTTTTCCAGGAAGGACCAAACACGCATCCTGATCAACAGCCATACATCATCGTGTGGCAAGATTTAGTGCAAAATCCACCGCCATGGGTAAAACCTTGGGTTTTGAAGAAACACACCACCCCTCCACGTGCATTAACCCTAAAAACCAGAACTTCTGAGTCCAGAGTTCCTCTGGCCCCAGAAGCTGCACCATTGGCACCACCCAAAATTTATCCTGAGATTGATAACCCACCTGAGTAGCCTGAGATGGGCCACAATCCTCCCCCATATCAGGGCCAGGCCGATCCCGGTCCCCCCATCAGAGTTCAGGTCTGTTGTTCATAGAGCTGCTATGAGTCATACTCACCTCAACACAACTCTCTGTCGTATGTGTCCTAAATCTGAGGGCCATGAAGGAGTCTAGTGTTTCATAAAGGGGGTATGCACATCCCTAAGTGACTTTCAGAGGGGACCACACCAATACGATTTACATTTTTTGTGCACTGTTTGAATAGAAATTTAATATTTTTTAATAAAAATATTTCTGTAGTTATAACAATAAAACCACTTTTTATAAACTTAGATTACATGTGATAATACTCCAATGAGGCTAAACTCTATGCAAATTTACTTTTTCAACTATGAAAATTTACTTTTTGGACCTTCTAATCCACATCTCAACATCAATAAAACAGAAATCCACACCACTGGATCAATAATAGGCAACATTGTGATAGTTGGAGAAAAGCTTGAAGTTATCAACAATTTCACTTTACTTGAATTCACAATTAATTCTCATAGCAGCAGTTTGATATCAAAAGACATGTTGCACTGGGAAAATCTACTATCAAAGACTTCTCTAACATGCTAAAGGACAAGAATATCAGTTTAAAAACTAAGGGGATCCTGACTCAAGACAAAATATCAATAATGGTATTTTCTATTGAGCTGTGGTGCTGGAGAAGAGTGTTGAATATACCATGGACTGCTAGGAGAACAAACAGGTTTGTCTTGGAAAAGGTGAAGGCAGAATGTTCCCTGGAGTCAATGATTTTGAAGCTTCATCTGACATACTTTGGGCATGTTGCAAGGAG